CATGTTCATCTTAACCTTCTCCTCAGCCAAACCTTATCGCCGGCGCGACTTCATGTGAGTCGGATGTGCGGCAACGCTGAACCTTGGCTGTGAGAAAGTAAACAATTCCTTGCAACCTGATTGACGTACCATTCAACGTGGCGAGAGAACTGACAGAGTCGCTTATACGCCGCAGCTCTACTGTAGAGTACGCTTTCCTGGCGCCTGATGCATGGCACACAAGGCACAGGGAGGGCAACAATCGAACACTCAAACGGATTCTCAAAGGTGTTAATCACAAAATATTCTATTTGCTATTTATTAAATAGTAGGGATTTATTACGTAAGACCAAGTGTTTTTCTTATCGCTTGCAATGTTTCATTTTATTATATTTGTTTTAGTAAAATATAAAATAAAAAATTTAATGTAAAAATATTGCAATGAGGATAATTACGTCGAATTAAAAAGTTCTCGTCGCCACCAGAAGGGTATTTAAAAATAATTTCGCCTCCAGAAGATAAAACCTTAAAAAATTGCATTTTTACAACTTGAAACTTCAGTGTAACACGTGTGTTGTCTTATACTTAAAACCATTGTAATGGCTATACTGATATTGCTGCTGGAACAAAAGAGCTTTTTAATACCAGTTGAATAATATTGTAATCCAAATAGAATCTCTGGCACTTATGGTCAAAATTCCAGTTTTCAATTGTGTTGCGTTCTGATAAAAGAAACTCGAAAACCTCAAAAATCTTCTGAAAAAGAAAATCTCATGAAAATGACATGTGTCTAAAGAAAAATTGTGCAAATTAAAATATAATTTCACATATATTACAAAGGTAACTGAGTGGGAATCAAAATTTTAATTATGAATGTAATTGAATAATCTCTTGTAAATTAAATACATTACACACTGGGAAAAATAAAACGCACTTTTGGGAATTCCAACATAACCATTCATATATTATATTTATTTACATATACATACGAATATATTCATATATTTGATATTTCTAAATGTATAGTTAAATTTGTTCAAACAATTCTCATGTCGACCGGGATTCGAACCCGGGTCTCTTAGTTTACGCCCAATTGCTCTAACTAATCCACCTGTGGTGACAATTATAAATGTAAAAGAATATCTTTATCATATATACAAAGGTGTATGGATGAATGTCTTGGTTTATTTGTAAAATATTTTGTGGGTATTGTAAAACAAAATCCATATGCTATAAATGTGTTTAAAAATGTTGGGTGGAATCGTTTTGTTTTCTACAACGTTTTCGGAATGGAACTGAATATTGCATGTGGTTTGGAGAAGTTGGCTTAATGCAAATCCCACACCCGGGGAGATCGCGCATGGCTGTATCTAGACATGAGAACTAGAGTACGGTTCGTGAATACTCTATTTTTGCAAATTTAAACATTAATGCATTCTCTCGTTATACGTTTGTGTTCATGTGTGTTCCGCTATCACTCATTGCGAACATTAATTGAATGTAGCTTGTGATGGCTGTGGCTATTTTTGGAGTGTTTTGTGATCGGTTCAAGGAATCTCCGATCTGTGAGATTTACGTAATTATTTGAATAGCACATGAAAAGAAGTTAACCTCCAAAAAAATCATTACATTGGATGAGAGTCTAAATATTGAAAACTTGAACGTGCAATAGACGCTGTGTCAAAAATAACGCAAATACCTTAGTTGGTTCACCGTGATCACAGCTAACGTCTATTTACCTAATAAAAATAACTTCGCATATTGGCAGCCGACTATAAAGCTGGCTAGCTCCCCTTACAATACCGTAAAGTGATGTATTAGAAAACTTTCTTTACACTTTGACTTGCAAAGAACAATTGCGAATTTGTTGCTTCTCAGTAAGCACATTACGGTGGTAAAGGGTTAACCAGGTCACAAAGTGACAACGCAATGCTGGTTTTCTAAATGTACATAAAAAACACCCAAATTGATTGCTAAGCAGAAATATTTAATTGTTCCAGATATTATTGACGTGTGAAGGCATTACTATCTGTTTTACATACATTTATTTGAAGTAATGTATTTATTAAATAATTTATTTAATAATGTTTGTATATTATAATTTATGTACTGCACACTACTATAGTTATCCTTAATTTCAACGCTAATCGTAATTTTTCCTCATTAACTTCAGCTTTTCAACCTTCAGTGATTTTCATGCAGACAACCTTTAGTGATTTTATTAAACCATTTTATTCTTTTACACGTTTTACTTTCGTTTTCTTTATCTTATTTGTGAAATTTGTTTGAAAAATGTTTTATTGTTACCACGCTGCTAGGATAAGCTCGAAGCACCTGAAAGATTCTCCAAATTGTGTGGGAGTGTAGAGCATGCAAGTTAGAGTATTTGACGGTGGGTAAGGGGGTAAGGATAAGGAAGAGAAGCTCGCGCACGGTCAGTGACGCGTTTGTAGAGTACTGCTCCGGCATTACCCTGGTATTGACGAAATCACGGAGAACTGGGATCCGTTATGAGTAGCCTGATAGTAGAATTCTTCTCCACACAATGGTTGAATTCGTTTTAGCTATGTAGCTAGTGTCTTCAAATCGCCTCCATCGGACTCCAATCATGAGACCTCCCTGGCAGCCGATGCCGCCGATGAAAATATCATTGAAAATTATCAGTGGTGCAGACATATTTGTCTAAAGTCTGTGTGACATGAGTTAATTGATTGATTAGTGATACCGGCCGTCAATTACTAAGGTCATTAGTCCAGTAAGTGCAGTGTATGTCGCGTGAGCTGGCGATGATTTTCCCCGTTGGAGGGCGAGATCCAGCACCGACCTATGTCGGCTTACATTGATTTTCCCCAACCAGGTATCTGTCGCCAGTGCGCCAAGGTCTCAACCATGACAAGATCTAAGCTCTCGACTGGTCTCCTGACATGTGTGACATTGTACACTCACATGAGTACATGTGAGTGTAAGCGTTTGTAAGTAAGACGTGAGGAAAGAACAAAGAAGAAGGAGGAAAGCTCGCGCGCGATCCTTGGCCTCTTTGTTAGAGTATTACCGCGTCATTCGCCTGTTGTTGATCTGAGAAACCACGAAAACTACCATTCAGAGCAGCGGGGCTGCTAGAATCCTCCACAAAGCGGCTGAACTCGGCATATCTAGATGGGCAGTGTCGTCGGGACTCGAACTCTAGAACCTCCCGGCCATAGGCACAGCAGTGACATCAACTGCTGCCCTGAGCCACCTTGGCCGGTGGAAATATCAGAAGTGTGGCCATAACGCAAATGAGTAGTGATGGAGGGCTGGCGTGTCTGCCCAATGCCTGTGCAGCTGCCGCTGCTGGAGTACTCACCCTCGCGCAGGGAGGCGAGCGAGTCGTGTGCGGCCACCGCCCCCGCGGCGGCGGCGGCGGCGACGAGCAGCGCTGCGACGAGGCGCATCTCGAGCACGGCCGCCTGCGACTGCTGGAGGGAAAGCGGCGGCCATCAGCGTGTTTGGCCGCGCCGCGCGCGCTATCGTCTGAGCGCGGTCGTTAAAATCGCGTTTAGGACCTTTCCAGGTTTCTGCTGGCGCAATGCGATACAGGGCATTAAATGGGAAAACGTACTTTTATTATTCGTTTTCCTCGGCTGCAGGAAAAGAGGATTGTATTCGCTAAAAAAAATGCAGTCAGGATTTCGGTGTTGAAAGGTATTGACGTTGAGAGACCAATATGGATTAATTAACCAACCAAGTCCGTTATTTGTGATATTGGGCGTGTGTTGTCTTTCCGTTTCATTACTATTATTGGCTTCTTTCCATATATAGTAGTGTTACTCGTCTGAAGTACTTATATCTACTATTAAACGGAAACAATTGCAACTTATACTTTAAACTTCGTGTTTGAACTTGCGAAGGAAAGGTGAGGAATGGTGAGCGAATCTGAGGTTTCATAATTTATTATAAAATACAGAAAAAAACTATAATTATAAAGAAATCACATACTTTATTTATCACTTTCAGAGTCAAATAACTTAAAATAAATATTCAGTCATCAATATACAACAGTGTTTTTCAAAACACTTAAAACGTTATGAAACAATGCTTTTCCATTCGCTAAATCTCTCTGCGGCTGAAATATTTTCAAAACTTCAAATGTCTCGGATAATTAAAAAAATATGTTTGACATAACAAAAGTAAAAGTATATTTCAATACTGCGTCTGTGAGAATAACTAGATTCATATTTGTGACATTTTTCTATTTGTTGTGAAAATTAATTCAATGTTCACTAAATTAATTCGTGTAATCCAATTTATTTGCACGCATTAAAAACTGTGGTGTAGACGCTGCTCGTCAATGCAATTGGATTGTACATAATTACGAATCGCCGGTGCACAAGAAAAGAGACATCTAAAAATTACCGTTTTGCTGGAGAATAGTTTTACATTGAATGGAACTAATTCTTTTCTGCCTAAAAACAAAGTTATTTTCTTTATTTACCGACCATTTTGTGTTCATGCTTTAAAAACTCTTAAGTAATACAAATGTACTAGTTTTTAAACCGATACAACACATATAATACTAATACATGTAATATCATACTATAATATAAATGACGACATTTGAGATGTTTCACTTTTTGGTACACCGGCGATATGCTCCTGTATTATGTATCTCTATTTTAATGTATTTAAGAATGTTCCTAATACAAAAAATATTTTTACAGTATATTGTTGCAAGTTTAGACAGTAGCGTACAATTTTGAAATCTGAATTTGACTAGACAAGCAAAGGTATAAACCTATCAATTAAAACTAACATATACAAATTACACATACACATGATAAACTTACACATACAAATGAGAAAATTAAGAATGATATTGAAAAAATGTATATTGCGCAGTAAAGTAAGATGTAATATCAATGGAGATTTAATGCATACTTGTGGAATATATCTTCAATGAATAGACACTAGAGAGAATGTGACGGGAGATTACGTCATTTAACCATTTCAGGTAATTCTAGTTTCTAATTTCTTTTATTCATCTAATATTTTACCGAACTTAAAATGGTAATAATTTAATAAATAAAATTAATAATGAATTTTAGGTTCCCGTGTTCTATGCTCATGTTTAATAATCTTCTCTTATATTAATATTAAAACATAAATAAATTAACCACAATTGTGAAAATTATAGACTAGAAAAACACAAAATGTGTTTATGATTTGTTAAAAGCACTATTCTTGCAGTCTTGGCTTAAATATCAGTCTCCAGCTTTAAGCAAATAATTAATAAAAATATAAATATTAAAATGAAAGACAGCCTTATTTCTGGCTGGGCCAGACGATGCTTTCGATCCACGGCACGTAGTGTGAAACGCGGGTGTAGACCGCAGGAGAGATAGTTTTGCCGCAACTTTTGGGGCCGAAGGACGTGACGCCCACGATTCCGAACATGCAATACGGAGTCGACAACTTCAGTTGCAGCGGGCCACCTGAATCACCCTGAAACAAAAAAGTCAAATGCTGAATTCTTTCCAAGTAAAGGTTAAAGTGGCAGAGTAATCTGATTGCACAGAATGCACCTTAAGCGTGATAGTTCATAGCATTATTTTCTTTTACAGTTAACGTGCACTGATTATCACTAGTTTTAAGATGTTTAAGTGAATATTAAATGAGTCAAAGGCCTTCGTTGCCTACAGTCAGTTTCTGAATTGTCTGTTTAGTCTAGCTACAACTATGATACTTCTACGTACGTGTGCTTGATGGTAAATAATTGTTGTTCATTGCACTTAAGTAAACAATCTATTATTTCGTTTTTATCTATAAAATATAACAGTATTTTCCTACAACGATGTAAAAAAGAATTCACAACTGCAGATGTAATTCACTTCTAATACAACTGACGTATATTGTAATGCGAAAATTTGTCTGTTCGAAAACAATTTTTAATGTCTCATTGTAACTTGTATTGTTACATAGTAACAACATAGTAACAACAATATTAAGGGTAACATTTATTGAGTGAGGAATATTCTAGATCTACTATCTACGCAATAAACTGATGATGTGTGATAGAATAAATTTATATCTTTCATTTAAGTTTCTTTTTATTTGCAGAGCGACAATGGATTATATAACGTAAGAATAAATAAATTTTATTCAGTAATAACATTTTTCTTCCATCTGTTCCTATTGTAGCCGCGAGGCCAAGTTAAACAAGTAGTATTTAACCGCCATTTCAAGTTTTCTTGTCTGGTATATGTAGTGAAACATATAGGATTTGACCTTAAATTACGAGATGTCTGCTACAAAATGTAATAAAAATTCTTCGAGACTGAGTGATTCAGGAATAAGTAAACAAGTAATAATTTCAACCATCTGACTTACCCTGCAAGTGTCTTTTCCAACTTTGCCTCCTGCACATATCATGGATTCCTCTAAAATCCCTCTTCTGAGCCGAAACGTGTTGCTAAGGGTTTTGTACGCTTTGCTGCAGAGCTCAGTCTTTTGAAAAGGCAGTTTCACTTTCATAAGTCGATCCGAAATCTCAGGTGAAACTGAAAAAGAAGAGAATCATTAATTATAAATGCAAAAATAATATGAAATGTATTTGAATTAATTCAACTTTTCACAACATAGGAAAATGTTTACCCATTTCCCCAATTACTTATTTATAATCATTATTGACATCTCAATTTGAAATGTCTGAAAACTAAATTGTTTTGAATAAATATTTCTCAATTTTTGTTGTTGTTGATGGCTTTAATTGTAGTTTCAATATTTCCCAAGCTTATAATAATTATATGCTGGTAATAGCAATAATTATATGCTGGTAATAGCATATAATATTGATAGTACAGTAATTACTTTCAAACTTGGTTGTTCAATTAACTTTCTTTTATTGTGTTGCTGATGTTACAATTCTCAGCGATTCTCATCCTCCAGTTTTTACAGAATGACTATGTTTGTAAAAAAATCTTTCTACGTAAAACATATGATTATGCATTTCGAACCCTCGGATGAAGTTTAACTGATCAGCGGGAAAAAGACACCAACATTCGTTCGCAGAAACTTACTTTTTCATTATATGTTATTTAAATAATGTAGGTTATATTTTATCACCATTTTTTTTATGAATATAGTGTTCAATCTTCGACGTATGCTAATGTGCGCGTAGCATTTGCAAGTTTCGTCCACAGATGATTAATATTGTTAGTTAATTTTATTGAACAATGTTACGCGAATTACGTGATACCGTCTTAACCGATTTCAACCGATTCTGATCAGCAGTTCCCCTTACATCATGAGGCGTAAGTTGATCTAGCAACATTGTATTCCCCCCTCAGGAGTGACGCAGAAGTCACCCAACGCGCGGAGCATTGTCCGAAACACACGCGGAGCGGAGGGCTGCGGGTCCCGTGCCCGTGTCCCGTGCACGGAATGGGAGGTCAGTGGTTCGATTCTCGACTACTGATGCCATCAGTCAAAAAAAACTATGTTTTTGTTGTTTTCAGTTTTTTTCTAATTAGTTATATCCAATGCAGTTCTGAAGATGGCTAAATTTAAATTCAAATCATTGACAGCGAGAGTATAACAATTTCCTATTTTGTGGCCCTAAACCAAAACTACTCCATCTTCTTAATTCTAAGTGTCAGCCACCATCATCAACAGAGGTTGTGAGAGATGAGTTAAATGCGTAAGCGTGGGCAACTCACTACAGAAATGTGAATAAAATATGTCATTACCAACATTTTCATGTTCCAAGATGCCTACCTGAAAATGTTGTTAATGACTACATATTATTCAAATATTTGATACGCAATACGATACGTCACCAATGCTAGTTATTAACTTCATTAAGTAGATTAATAGCAAATAATTGACGCCGTCAAAGTGTGTAAATCGAAGCGGTAGCCACGCATCGTTACCAACAAGGCTGTTATTTGTGTCGCGTTTCGTTGAATATTTATCGTAATACCATCTTATAAAAAAATAATAATTTAAACAAGGAAAACTATTTCTTGGAATACGTGTACTCATACGACATTTTTAGCTAACAACTCATTTTATGTTCTTTGTTCTTAACGGACGGCGACTTTTTGTTCCTGTCATTATAGAAGTTCAGTATTAGGAAAAGCAATGCACACTCACTCCAGTCCGTGTACCCCCATCCGGTGGCGATGGCCTCGCTGGCGGCGATGTCCATGCTGAGGTGCAGGCAGGCGGGGCGCATGGAGGCGGTGAAGGCGACGTCGCGCGCCAGGCGGAGCAGGCCGATGTCGAAGTAGCGCACGCCCGACTTGTGCTCGGGGTGCGGGATGCTCTGCGCCACGGCGAAGTCCTCGTGGCGGTTGCGCTCGTCCGCGTTCGAGATGATCAGCTCCCCCAGGCGCGCCACCTTCGGGCTGCCCCTGCCACCGAGCGCGACGTCCCATTGGCGCACACATCCACAACTGGTTTTAAACTATCCAGGCCGGGGAAGGACTACCTAACATGCGGTCACCGACCGCGCGCGATGTTTCCTTCCCCTTCCGTGGCCCATCCTCCTTACTTACATTTACTCTAACATGCACTAAACTTCCACACATATCGGGAGCTTAGAGCTTGTCCCGGCTGGGGCGGTGCCTCTCTGGTTGGGGAAAACTTCGCTAGCCGACGTAGAGGTTGGCGCCGGAGATCACCACCCAGCAGAGGAAGATCACCGCCCCCTCTCGAGGAAAACAAACGCTCAACACTTACGGGAACAATGATCTTAGAATTTGACACGCCCGGAAACGCGAAAAAATCAATCAGTGAAGAAACTACTCAGGCAGTAATCATTCTTGGACATCACAAACTCCGCCGTAGCTTGCATTCCCTAAAATAGGGCTGTCCAAGTGTAAGAATTGCGGCTACAGTGCGCGTGGTGGTCCTCAGCAGTGACCGCGCCCGTACGCGTCCCCTAACCTACCGCAGGGCTGACTCAAGTGGCAGCGGGCCACATCGGTGGATATACGCTAGGTCACGGCATAGGCCGCCCACTAGAGCTGCCCCGCCCTATATCAACGTACACAGGTATTACTACAACAAACGATTAAATGTTATTGTCTAAGTGAAGATGAAAATAAAAAGAATAATTCTAAAAAATTGATTTTGCATGTGTAAGCTCCATATGCCTGAAGCAGACGGTAGTGAAAATGATCCCCCGAAAAGCGACCAAGCTGTACCTTTTTCACAATATTTCGAAAACTTTGTACTGGTGGTTCCGTAAGTTCACGATGGAATGAGATAAAAAAGGTAGAGTCCTCAAGAATCTCGTTTATTCGAACGTCGAAGTTCATTTGAAAAGTCTTAAAAAAGAAATTGAAGAAATTCGTTTAGTCTTTTATCTCGCTTTGCTTCGTTGTCATGTTGGCAAGAATATTGATATTAGTGTTGGAACATGAAACACCTAGGATTAAAGTCTCATGCAAAAAAATGTATGTGTTTCGCAGTGAAAAAAGGGGTCTACGTATACAATAGTCGAACTGCATGGTAAGCCACACCGTGAGCGGGTGCGAACTGAACTTACAATTCGGTGGTGATGCAGTGGGCGGCGGTGAGCACAAAGCGCTCACTGATGAGCGAACCTCCGCACTCCCAGCTGGGCGCCTTCTCGTTACCGTAACCCAACAGCGCCTGCGCAAGGTTAATCTTTTATTAGATACATGAACAATGGTTCCTGGTTACAAGTTTTTCAAAAGCATCAATGACGAGAAATGAAGGTCCTCAGAGATTACATTACTTTAAATTTAGGGTGACCGTACGTCCCATTTGGAATGGGTTATTGTTTTTAGGCAGGTTCTGACCTTCTCGTCCTTTTACGATTTTGTCCCATTTTACGGAAATCCGTTCCTTTGTCCCGTTTTACTGTAATGCTTTTTCTTCAAAGTAAGATTCTATCGTCAGAGAAGTGTTCATGGTACAACATAAATTATAAAAGACGAGCCCTTCCTATGTCCAACAGTAAATTTGTATTGTTTTTTGTGGAGAAAGAACATTAATAATATAAAACCCACTTAAATTAAATTAATTTAAATACTGTAATAACTAAAATAAATTATAAGATAAACGATGGCCTCAATTACTCTTCAAATTACAGAAAAAATATTTTCGAACGAAAGAGAACAATCTTCTAAACGAAGGTTTTCTTGTTAAAGAAACTTTAAAAGGCAGTTTTCGGAAAAAGAAAATTCTCTTCACTCTTTGATTTAACTTGTTACAGCTAATTGAAATTATGTTGATTACTAATGAACACTGGCACTGGCATTGCCAAAGAGTCGGGTAGAGCTGAGAGGTGGAAGGTTGGCTGAATATATTTTGGAGTCGATCAGATCTTCCGAAAACCCGCATTCATACATCGTTCCACGATTGCTGAATTCACACTCAACTGGTTCATTACTTCTGCATCTACCGTTTCTTTTAAACAGTTTAAACTTTTAAAAAGGAAGAACCCTTTGAAGAGTTGAAGCTCTACCATTAAATTAGGAAACTGCTGACTTTTGATGCATTTTATGAATACTTATTTCCCTTTGATTAGAAGCTGAGGATGCTTTTTTGGGCGGAACCGGGGGTGATTTTGAAACAGCGGTCGACTAATTTTGTATTGTGTTTTTGGTGCCAACCTGGCTATTTGTATTGAGGTACAAATAAAATTATATTTGAACTTTTATTCGAGTACATATTTCACTCACCATGTGCGGGAACTCATTGGCGGTGGCTTCAACGCCCCCCACGATGAAAGGCACGCCTTTATCCGCGCATTGGTCCACCCTCACCGTCTGCGGCGGCAGGTGGAAGGTCTTCTCGTATCTGTACACCGCCTCCGCGTACTTTGTGCACACTGTGAGTAATCAGAAAACAAAATTAAAACTGAAAATATATTATGGTAAATACATCCCGATTTACTACACGTAATCAAATGTTGAGGATCTACCTAATCAAGCTCTCGATGTTTTTAAATTTACCTTTTTTCATGATTAGTTGCACAGAACGTATGTTTTAATGTAGGGAAAGAAAAAAATTGCTAACGCACAACACTTCTATACTACAATACTTCTAATTTTTATTTGCTAGAATAATTGGGATCTTTCCTCGTGAACATAATAATTTAACTTGAGAAATTGTGAAAACAACAACAACGCATTTTGGTATGCGATCGTATAGCACAGAAATATATTACAATGCAAGTGAAAACTTCTAAAAGAATGAACAAGGCACGATCTTTACTTATAGGCACCTTATGAAACTGAGGACTTGAGTTTAATCATTCGTAAAAATACGTTTAAGGGGAAAGGTGATTTTAATACGAGTATAAGAAATACGAGTATTAAATACTCGTAACTATAAATAAATTAAACTTAATTGCTTAAAATCTAATTCATTTCATTCTACATAAAAGCGAGAAAGAAAGTGGCTGATAGTAGTGAAGTCGAAGTGATTATAGTATTCCGAAGGAACCAATGACCAGCAGAAGTGCGATCCCGATATCTGTAGTTTTTATTGTTTAATTTTAAGTTATAATCAATGCCTTTCACGTATTATTCCTGAGAATGGACGAAACAGTTCTATCTTTAAAGTGTTTTATTAAGTTACTTAGCAAAAATACATTTTTAGTATATAAAACTAAAATGTTTAATTTGTCGGAGACGCCACACTAAACTAATTTTTATATAACTTACTTAATCCACTCGAAGTAAAGTGTTCACTCTCTTACCCTGAAAGCGTTTCTGTATGATTTATAATGATTTACCCTGAAAATCGTTCATTACCAAATTTATAAATGCATTGACTCATTTACACACTACTATTCACTATGCTATGTACTTAACATACTGTACTATAATGATATACTACATACACTGAACTGTATGCACTACATTATATACTATACACTATTCGATACGCATTACAACTAAGATCTCATTAGGGGCAACGGTCTCCTGCCTTTTGCGGGGAATGCTGAATGATAGGGTGATGATGAGGTGTGAAAGGAAGGATGATAATGGGAGGTGGCAGGTGGTACGTGAGGGTGATGGGAGGTGATCGCGGCACTTTTGAAACATCCCAGCATTCCCCTTATGACCAAGGGAGAGCACGAAAACTCCGGTCAGCAGGGCCAGCGCGGAGATCGTACGCGGACCTCCCGATTGCGATGTCAGCACACTACGCACTGAGCCACTTCGCTCGGTCGACACGCATCATACTACATAATCACTACACCACACTAGTAAACACTATACATTGCTCTCCTCATATCACATTTACACTTTACGTATATTATCAACTGTACTATATTCACCCCTGTATCTGTATTCACTACATAACATACTACATTGTCAACGATTCTACTATTCACGCCGCTATGCAACTAATCCTTCCAAGTAGAATGGGGTAGTACTCACTGCGGGACGCGAATGCGCTCTGTGGGCGACGCGGGAGCGGGGCTGGATGGCTGGCCGGGCGGGGGCGGGGGCGGGGGCGGGGCCGCCGCTGGGCGCGCCTCCAGTGGCCGGGGCCGCCTTGGGGCAGCAGACGATGGGCGTGAAGCCTTGGTAGAAGCACACGTCTGGCTTCACCCCCTTCCGCAGCGCCTCACGCGCTTCTCGGCAGTCGTGGATGTTCTTACACTCGCCGGCGCCGCCCCGACACGCGGCCCCTGCGGAACGCCACAACACACACCGATTAGCAAAGGCGTTGGAAGAGCATATCAGGGATCCACAGTACACAGGGTTTAAGGCAAGATTTGAGTTAAAAATGTTGAGTGTGATGTTACTGATGTAATAATACAGGTGTAATGTTGACACTTCATTTTTCGTGCTCAAAGGGTATTCAGTTCACGTTCAGTTTCAGTATTCACTGCGTTCTAGCGTTGAATAGAAAATACTAACCTAACCATCTCTGGACTCAATTTTTTCAGTACAAAATTTAGTGCACTTGTATCCTTTGTGTTCCAAGCCCTACATATTAGATTATTGTTTACACTTTTTGTATGGAACCACAAAAAATCCTGTAACATTTGTTGTATCAGGTATAACTATAAGTAAAAGAAAGAAACTAGAGGTGTTTCAGCGCGCGCAACAAAATTACAGACTCAGTGATGGCTGGGTCGAATTCAGATTCTGTCTGGAGAAGTCTAGCAAATAGCTTCTCTGAACTGTTTAGTTTGCCGGGGTGAACTCCTGTCAGTGCCAAATCTCTGATTAATGTCAAATTAAAAAAACTGATTTTTTTGTCACGACACGAAGTATGTACAGAGCAGGTAAATTTTAAATTTTCTGGATCAACTGACGAAGATATGGTCAGGCAGGCGGAGGTTGCTAGTTACGGCGAAGGGAATATGTCGTGTTCGCCAAATGTCTCTCTTGCCCCCAATAGTTGGAATTTAACTAGAAGCAGGCCTGGGGGACGTCGTTGGCTTCTCGGCAAAGTTGGACAATCTGCCCGAAATGCCAACTACATTACGTACGGCGAGGAGGAACAGAAAATCAGCTAATGAAATCGTTAACCTGCTTATATCATTATTAAAGGAATTATATTTCCTTACCCATACCTATTTCCGCCTACAAAAGGATTAAGAATAGCTGTTCGCTCATCGCGATAGCGGTTTAGCTTCTTGCGTCGAGATGCCACTTTTTCAGATGACGCAACTTTCAGCAAAATAAGCAAAATGAGAAAGGCGAAAAGAAATTGAAAGTTTGCGAGAAAACGCGAACGTCCTGACATTGCATCTATACTTTTCATAACGTAAGAATTTGTTACATCATATTCTGGTTTATGTTGAAATCATTTTCGTTATTTGTCAAAAGTATGTAACAATATATAATTGCAATTTCTATCCTAATGATACTTTTGAAATTTTAGACATTCTAGAGATTTTAATAGAAATTACACATATTCCATATTATCACGTTCTATTCCAGCAAAAAATTGTGGCTTTTAAGAAAATCTTAAATACATATTTAAAAAAAAGTTTATTATTTTACCTAAAGTTACGCAAAAATACTCGTGTTTTGAGAAACAAGTAGAAAACATTATTTAAATATACTATTTTAATTTTGAGAAATCTTTATCTTCAGTAATATATTTAATTCTGGTGAAAATCCTCTGTTCGGAATCAATGTTCTTTACAGACTGCCGCAGGGATGGATATAGGATATATTTATACACAGAAACAACCCATTTTTGTTACCAGTCACCCCAAAACGTGTATTTTCATAACGATATCGACATAGATTTGTTGCACACTAGGCCACTTTCTCCACACTGTGTATCCGAGAAAGTTAAAAAACAAACAAAAAAACTTGCTAATGCAGTCCGTGAACTGGCCGTCTCGCATCACATCGCACCGCATGGGATTTCGCGGCGCGGCGCGCGCGGAGTGTTTCCCCGCTGGCGGAGGCGCAGGCGCAGGCCTGTGCGCGGCTGCGGACGCGCACCCGTCGGCCTTGGCGCTCCGCCGCCCCGCGCAGCGCCGCGTCGCGCCGCGCCGCGCGGCAGGAGGACGCGTCTGGGGAAAGCGCTCCCGCGGAAGCCCACACGCAGACAAGGCGCATTTCCTCCCGCGGGCGCCGCGACACGGAATCGCCCGTCTCCCTCGCTTACCAGCTAGTCCCCTTTCGTTTTTCGTTACATGAGGAGGCATTGCCCGACACCACGCCGTTTCGTTCATTCGGAGATCCGGAAGGAGTCAACATTTTAGATGAGTTTGCATTCTGTATTTACTAGGCTGTCCGGGTGACGCCGCGTCCATGGTGAAGGTGCTGACGTTTCGGTCGCCATTCTGCAACCTTCCTCAGGGCGTAATGTCAGGAGGTAATGCCGGGGCGTTATGCCATGAGGAAGGTCCCGGACAGCCAAGTAAATACTGACTCCGGTCGCGGAAGCCTACGCTCTCGAGTTTGCATTCGTAAATGGCACATGTAAATGTTCTCACACCAGTCTAGGGAAAACTTCGAACACAGATTAGCATGGCAGAATCTTCGGAATTGTGTATGTTAAGTCTGCGAGGTAAGATGATGCTCGTGATAGATGGTTTCATGTTTTGTTTCCACAAACTTTTAAGCGGTGGTTGTTAACGTGGCCAGTGTTCTAAAAGAACACGCAAATGTTTCTTGAAAATTGACAGAAGTGCATAAATTAAAATCTATCAATGTGCTACTAAACAGATCACCGGAAATGTAGCAATCGTTCCTCATACTAAAAAGGAAAACAGAACGGAATGCAGTTGGGGCATGCCTTTTGGGGGAATTAGGTAATAGACTTGAGAAAAGTTGACCGCTGGGTATAGTCGATTTGTGCCCTATCAGCGGCAAAAGTGGTGTCTTTAGGCGTGTTTCCTGGAGATGGACCTAGAAAGAACCTCCCTCAAAAAGGTGGATCAGCTTATTTTAATGTGAAAACTCTCTAAAACGTGGTCCTTGTTGGAGATTGGCTGCTTCCGAATTATCTACGTAAATTAATGCTCTTTAATATACAACGACAGAAATAACGCAGTCAGTTCAATTTCATTACAAAAAGGGTTCATTGTAATATTTTGCATTATAACTGTTTATCAATTGCAGCTAAGGAAATAATTTATATAGTTTTACTTGGTAACATAATACAAATTTACTATTAAGGTACGTTCAATTAATGTATAGCTAAGAATTTGAATTCACCGAAAACAAATTCATCCACTTTGTCTATCTACAGTAAAACTTAAATCAGTTATCAGATCTTAAGTATTATAATAATCCAAGGTCCGCTAGTAATAACAATGGCCAGTTTATTAATGGAAAGGAAAATTGTATAAGGAAGTGATCTAACTATATGCCCCATTTTTAAATACTATCAACATCAGTCTCTGACCTTCGTAGAATGAATAGTGAAATGGAAACGATATAGTATGTAAATTAAAGGGTTAGAAATGTTGAAACAAATTATAAGATATTCATATCGCAACATTTTGACAATACTTATTTTGTAAATAACTGTCACGTACGCGTTAATAACTAAATGCTCTAAGGTTTCATCTGGTGGTGTTCTCAAATACCTCAAGCAACGAGAAAAAATCCACGGAATTTAAAAATAAAAATAACGCGTCAGACGTTATTTTACTCAATTGTATATGCTGATGAAACCCTTGCATTTCCTTGTTTTCGCCTCGTGGCGTTTATAAATGGCATCAGATTGCGACAGAAGATAACCGTGTGTCGCTCGTCTGACGCGAAAACCCTGCGGCGGGATGTCCCTTTATTTGTGCTGCCACACCTTCGCTGCGTCGCGGAAGGTTATTACGACTGTCCTGGAAACACACTGGGCATTCTCGGACAACTGAATTGTCAGTTGTAGTCCACATGACTGAATTCAGAAGAATCGTACAAAATACTTAATTTCAGGAATCCAAACATTTCTACGTCACGTTACCAAAACATTTTTATTTAGTCCCTCCCCCAAATGCATTGTTTTGAAAAAACTCCGTGATTCAAGTACTGTCTCTCACCCAAGAATAGGAAAGAAAAAACGATTTACATATATTGTTTTAAAACCCTGCCATCATTTTTAGGCTTTTCAGTAGTGGTGTCAATGTTGCACTTTGAAAGCTCTATGAACATTTCATTGAGATTCACACTAACTGATGAAAATATAATTCATAAAGGTTTAATTGTTTTGAAGCTCCGTGAAGAGCAAAGGTTTTTTACATAGTTAACAAATGCACTACTGCCCTATTAGAAGCCCATTAAATAAAACAATAATAGTTTAAGATATAACTCATAGTAAATCTTAC